GTTCAACGTCACATTCACAATAATGTCATTTGCATGCCTGTGTGTCTGGTTGAACTAATCTGGACTGATGCCAGATTTATTACGCTAGCACAGTGAGATACCATGCTGTAGTTGATCATGGATGCCCCACTCAAGTATACAGACTCCAAGCCCACCAGTCCTTGTCACTTCCCCTGCATCAGTCAGGGTAACAACAAGTGCCATATTTAATGTCTTTTGATATCATCAAACCACAATTCCTCCACTCTCAGGTCAGAGGCTTTATGTAAAGGACAATGGAGTCCTCCACTGCTAAGATTTTAGTGAGAGATAGTTGTGTTGCCCATGAACTGTAGGCAGTGTGTGCTGGTTTCTGAGGAATGTGCACTGACTTGACCTTCTATCTGTCACTAGAGCATTGACCAGTGTGTTATGCAAGCTTGGAAGATTAGGGACTTTTGAGACTACTACCAGGGACTTTTGAGACTACTAGCCCAATTATGGAACTTCGAATTATTTTCAGGAGATTTCAGTTTGATACACACTGACATAGATTTGTTGGTTTGTTCAAAGCCACAATCAGCACTAATCGAGTGGTCATTAGGCATCAAGTCAGATCATCGACCAATGATCGATGTAGTACGCTTGGTTGGTTGGTTTGTTGTCGCCTTTTACAACAAGCATGGGTTGCTGAAGACAGGAGCTTCATGGGTATGATGTACTGACTGACTGAGTTTGGTTTTACGCCGCCTTTATCAATATTCCAGCAACATCACGGCGGGGGACACCAGAAATGGGCTTCACACATTGTACCCATGTGGGGATTCGACCCCGGGTTTTCGGCGTGACGAGGCAACGCTTTAACCACTAGGCTACCCCACCGCCCCGAGTATGATGCAGCAAGCAACAATCTGAACACATGTAATCAACTCAGTCTAACCACTCTATGCCTGTAGCAATCATGTTAGGTTGCCGAGGACCTAGTCTAAACCACAACCCCCGGATCAGACACAGGATTAGTATCATAGTATCAGCAGACGTCACTGGACTGAAAGAAATCTTGCCACTGGTTTCAGACCTATGACTAGGATTACAGTCTGCTACACCCATACCCATATTGAAAAGAACTTGAAATAGTAGCTCCCAACAGGTACACTTCTGCAACAAGATATCAACAAGCTGGGTATGCGACAAGAGACATCTCCCTCCATACAGCATTTCTGTCAACCATGCACTAAGAGCTCTTTCGCTTCTCCTGATCATACCCTGCAGACATGTTATCTGATGTCTTCAGCTGCCTGTCACAACATTACACAGATGGGAATGCCAAGTTATAACATGAAACAAGAAGACAAAGTCATCAATATCCCCCGCAATGGCAAAATACTCTTCATGATTATGTCTACGAGTTATGATTATGTCAAATATTTAGGTGTGTATATAGAAAAGTGGAAGGAGAGCATTGAAAGGTGCACTATCACCAATTTCAGTCTCAGTTGACGCCATGGAAAGGCCAAAAATATTTTATTCAGAATTCCAAAACTACCAAAAGGCACCAGTACACAACCAGACCAATCTATGTGCCAAGTTTGGTGAAGAAATAGTGAACGGTTTTAGAGTTCTGCTCCGGAAAAGAGCACTACCATCAATTTCAGTCTAAGTCGAACTTGTTGCCATGGAAACGCCAAAAATATTTTATTCAGAATTCCAAAACTACCAAAAGGCACCAGTACACCACCAGATCAATGTATGTGCCAAGTTTGGTGAAGAAATATTGAATGCTTTTAGAGTTCTGCTCCGGAAAAGAGCACTACCACCAATTTCAGTCTAAGTCGAACTTGTTGCCATGGAAATGCCAAAAACATTGTATTCAGAATTCCAAAACTGCCAAAAGGCACCAGTACACCACCAGATCAATGTATGTGCCAAGTTTGGTGAAGAAATATTGAATGCTTTTAGAGTTCTGCTCCGGAAAAGAGCACTACCACCAATTTCAGTCTAAGTCGAACTTGTTGCCATGGAAACGCCAAAAACATTGTATTCAGAATTCCAAAACTGCCAAAAGGCACCAGTACACCACCAGATCAATGTATGTGCCAAGTTTGGTGAAGAAATATTGAATGCTTTTAGAGTTCTGCTCCAGAAAAGACAAATGTGCACGGATGGACGGTTGGACAAACGGACGGACAGGCGGACGGAGTCCATTTTAATACCCCCCGCAAAACGCGTTGCGGGGGATAATAACAACCTGTATCATGTATCTAAAAGCAATTGGGTGAGTGAGTTGGGTTGACGCTGCTTTTAGCAATATTCCAGCAATATCACTGCATGGGACCAAGAAATGGTCTCCATACATTATATCTATGTGGAGATTCAAACCCGGGCTTTGGCGTGACGAGCAAATGCTTTAACCACTTGGCTACCTTACCACCCTAAACACAGAAGGAATCCTGTTGTCCAAGGTCCTTTTCTCGTGTTGTGGTGTTCTAATAATGCTTCCTTCACTGGTTTTAATCAGCTGAACACAGAACACATCCACAGGATAAGTTCCAAATCTATTATAATCTGCTCTAACCTGTCATATCTTCATGATCAGACCACACAAAAGAAATAAACAGACAATTATAAAGAAAACCTCTTCTGTCCCAAAATAAATTCCAACTTTACAAATACTTCATTCATAAAAAAATAAATTCAAATTCACATTTTAAATTTTAATTTAAGTGAAATTTATAAAGAATTCTTAAAAACAACGTCATGATAAAACATCACAAGGACTGATGGTTTTATTCCAATCTCCTCTGTGCAGATTCGGCTGAGAATGAATGGCCGCAGACTAATCACGGAGTCTCGAGGCAAGGTGCAGGGTGTTTATTCATTCAGCATGTTCCCTTTTAGCGACCTTCTCACATCATATAAACAATGGGAAATTGGATTTCTCCACAAAGTGTTCACGAAACTAAACACCTCATACATCTCAAGCATCATTAATCCTGGAAGTGAGCTCTTAATATAAGTTGTACGAGTTCTAACAGCATCATGAGAGCTCTATGTAGTTTCATGAGTCCCGTCAGGTTTTATACGAGCCAAGGTAAGCTGTATAAAACCAAACGCAGGACACATAAAAATACATACATCCTCATGATACTCACAACAATTGATCTTGCCGACATGTTTAAATCTGACACTGTAAAAGAATTAAAACAAATTAAAATTTGATAGAAGCTGTTTGAGGTTATGTTACTTGTAAAGTGTCAAGTGACTTCAAAACATATGGTTTTCCTTCCTTGTAGGGTATATCAGATTTATTCTCCTTAGGAATCCATGTGCAAGGTGTTTTCTTTGTGGGAGGGAATAAAGGAATTTATTCACCCACTCAGAAATGTATTTCCCTCTCGGGCACTATTTTATCAAGATTGTATAAACCAATAAGATGTCAACATTCTGATATGAAGGTAAGATAAAGTTTAAACCGGTATTTACGTTGTTGCTCATGCTGTGGTTAACGAACTAATGGTATCCGCCATACTTTAACATAGATATAGATTGCTTTAACCAAGACAACCGACAGTCATATTTCTCATGCTTTAACACGGAACTACATTAGTCTTAACTCTGTTTTAACACCAGTTAAATCTTACTATAAAAATATAGTGAGTGAGCTTAGTTTTATGCCGCTTTTAGCAATATTTCAGCAATATCATGGCGGGGACGTCAGAAACGGGCTCATGTGGGGAACCGAACCCTGGTCTTTGGCATGACAAGCAAAAACTTTAAGCATGGGCTATCCCACCGGCCCTATAAAAATATAGAAATTAATGAAATAGTTTTCAGAATTTAGTAGGCTATGTCAGTTCAGTGTCTGCATACCATCATCATGATGGAATTAGACCATTCCCTTTTTAAGTTCCACGAGTGAGTTTGTTCTAAGGCTGATTTCAGCATTATCTCAGTGCCATTGTGTGTTGTCATTGACAGACAAGTGATCAGTTAGGTCAACAAACATGTTCTAACTGAACAAAATGAACAATTTCTGTTCATGAAATATAGAGCATCCAATTTTCTTTCTTGAATGTCTGAATAACTTTGCATAACAATGTTTGCAAACAATATCCATAAATATTGGAGAAGAATTGAACCAAAGTTCCTAAAAGACATTTACAGCTTTGTTCCTGACAGTCCATCGATTGTAACAGGGTGAACTGAACATTCAAGTCCACAACCAGCAGATCCTGGCATGAATAAGGGACATAACTCTGCACTGCAGATAACAGCACACCAGCCGAGTGAGCCATCATGCCTTAAAACTAAATATAGATTTCGTGAGAGTTCTAAAGTCGAACCCTGCAAGGTCACGAACTCTGCCAAACAAAACTCTCCAGAATCTGTTCCCTGATCTGGTCTGGGCCTGAGAAGGAATTAACAGCCAAGTGTAGCAGATCACAGCATTTCAAGCCCTTACCACACACATGAAGCCAGTTAAAGCTGGACTGGGATACTGTCTGTTAGTAGAGAGTAAATACTCTGCTATTCCAGCCTTCTCTTCTAAATGATATCCAAGCTGTTAACCCTGTAATCCTGTGTTGGAAAGTCAATATGGCTGCCACCTTAATTGAAGCTGTACCGACACTTTCCATGGATCTTGTGGTTAGGGAGCAATTCCATTCCAGAGCGTCAATATTTGGACTCTCTATTCAATAAATTCTTCTTATCACTTTTGTGGTCCATGCCAGTGGACATATTCAGAAATAGCATGTTTTACTTATTGGTTGTGAAGAGGAATAACAAGGAATGGTTACAGAAGACACTGAAAGGTACACAGAGGGAGAGAGGGAAAACAACTCATCTAGACGGGTGAGCTTAAGGACATATCCTCAGAGTTTCTGTCAGGTGGTTTGTGTCATGGCATTGCAATATTCAAGCTGTATGATGGCAGCCTTGGATTGGGCTGAGGACATATATATATTATGAGTGTGGTAAAAAATGTTTCGTTCGTTTTATTCCATCCAAGCTAAACTTACCTTTCTTCACTTTCTTCTGTAATCTGACTGTGTCTGAAGCTGCTTTCTTTATTTCTTGTCTGGCTTTCTTATATTCTGAAACACAAGCACCATCCAGCTTATTCTAGCTAACAACATCAAAACATTGACATCATCCTTCATACTTCAGTTTAATAACTAAACATTAAAATCATCCAGCTTATTCTAGCTAACAACATCGAAACATTGACATCATCAATCATACTTCAGTTTAATAATAACTAAACATTAAAATCATCCAGCTTATTCTAGCTAACAACATCGAAACATTTACATCATCCTTCTTGTTTTAGCGTAACAACAACTAAACATTGACATCATCCTTCTTGCTTTAGCTCAGTGAGAACCAAACGTAACATCATACGTCACTTCTAGAAGACCAGGAATCCAAGTAAGTGAGTGAGTGTTTTACGCCACACACAGCAATATTCCAGCTATATGGCGGCGGTCTGTAAATAATCGAGTCTGAACCAGACAATCCAGTGATCAACAACATGAGCATAGATCTGTGCAATTGGGAACCAATGACATGTGTCAACCAAGTCAGCTAGTCTGACCACCCGATCCCATTAGTCGCCTCTTACGACAGGCACGGGTTACTGAAGGCCAATATTCTAACCCGGACCTTCACGGGTAGAATCCAGGTAAGCCACGTATTGTAAAGGAAAAAAACTCATTGGCATGACAAACAAGAGTTACCTACCCTTAGCATGATCCTTATCCAGTTGAGCTACGACCTTCTTCCATTCCTCCAGCTTGTCCTGAATCGGTGCGACCAAGGTATCCAGCATGCATCTGTAGGGGCATACATACAGGATTATGCAATGTCCAGTAAGAGTAAACTAAATAAACTCTCATATACTAACACGTGTGATATTTACGTTATCACGATGTTGCGTCACTGTCGTATTGCTGGCATATGGCTGACTGGGATATTAATCAAACAACAAACTCTAACTGTCCACACACCTTTTCCTTTGCTTCAGTCTCATCCTGACTATAATCATAACATTGTGAGTAAAAGAATGTGTGAGTGATTGACATTAATGAAGCTTACTAACTTGGGCTGCGCAATATAACCAGTTTACCAGTATATACCGGTTCAGATATGAAAACAATACGTATTGCGAAACGTTGATCGAAAACAGATATTTTAACATGCATTCTGAAAACTTTGTAACACTTGGAAATCTTCGGATATTTCCGTTTTTCATATCGGAAGTCATGCGTTTGTTGTAAAATGGCGACCCCCAACAACGAACAATTTATTGTGGTGTCAATACTAGGGCAAAGGCATCAGTATGCCAGCATTTGGGGTTGAAAAAGTTCACGGTAGATGGAACTATTGATAAGAGGAACGCGGTATGTAAAATATGCAATGGTAAAGTAAATCAAAAGTTTATATTAAAGCTTAATCAAGCATAGTGATTTTGTTGTGTTTTTGCTTTATAAATCAAGCATTAACTTCTGGCAATATATCGCAATATGAAAATTCTCTGCAATACCCACCCCTATTACTAACTGAACAGTGTTCCAGTTATATCACTGCATTGAACATTTACTCACTCATCCACCAATCAAACCACCTGCTCACCAAAACTCACTTTCCTTGCCAACCCCACCCTTCCCTCAATTGGAAATTAATTCATTCATTTTCTCCTACTCCCTCCTTAAACACGACTCACGAATGGACAACACAAGGTAATCATTTGTCGACAGGTCACTTCAGACCTGATGCAGTATGGCGAGATCTGGGAGAAGACATGAAATCTATGTATGTTGTAACCACTATCCAGGGGTGGAAATAACTTTAAAATTGCTAGTGTACTCCGGAACAGTGGCACATGTAAAATCACTTGCCCTGATAATTTTCCACTATACCGGCTGTTTTCTTGTTGATTTTTTAAATAAACAACATAATTAATATTGGAAAGTCAACTGGACACCGGTACAGTGTCATATCCAAATTTGCTTGCCCGACAGAAAAAAAACACTGGACTCAGGCGTCGGGCAATGGGTTATTTCAGGTCAAGCTGACCAGTGACTGTGTCAGCGCACTTTACTGCACTGGATCCTCCCAAGACTCCCTAAAATCTTTAACGTCTCCGTCAATGCTGAAGCAGCACGCTTACCCTGTGAATGACTTGAGTTTGCTTTCTATACTTCTGTGTCTCATGCACAGTCGGGTCAGAGCTGATCCAATCTCCTTGGTTGCTCCTGCAAAACAAAGAATAATCATTAGTAAATAGGAATGATTAAAATACTTGCTCAGTGACAAGAATATACAAACATGCTGCTTTGACCATTCAAAAGGCTGTCAGTTCCTATTGTGGAATCACTGAATCTGGTAGAAACAATCACAGGTTTGTCAATAGAATGCATATGGAGATTCCAGTTCAGGGTTCAAACTCCTGCCCACAGGCCCCTGGCACATAGATCTTGTAGGGGCATACTGTTTCAAAGACGTATCAGTGCTTAAATTTATGTGTCAAACCATTTGTAACAAACAGTTGCAGTTTTTTAAATGAGTTTAGTTTTACGCCGCTTTTAGCAATACTCCAGTAATATCACAGCAGAGGGACACCAGAAATGGGCTTCACACATTGTACTCGTGCTGGGAATTGAACCCGGGGCTTCGGCGTGACAAGTGAACACTTTAACCACTAGGCTACCCCACCACAATTGTCCATAACAGCAGTTGTCAGCAAACACTATTTACTATCACAGTATCAACTGATTGAATAACAACATTTACACAATCCAAGGGAATTACACACCAAAGGCTGAAAACAACAGTTATTTCATCAGCGGATTGTTGATTTATTTTGTCAGGAAACAGACCATTGCTGCACACATTTCATCAATAGAATAGACCATCGGCAGGGACCCTTCACATCATGTCTGTATTCCACAGATCAATGGTTGGACAAACGGGCCACTATCTTACATAACCCAGAAACAAACAGAATTCAATTTCAGTTGAGTCAAAGACCTCATGAATACATCTGTATGTCCATCTAATTAATACACTATCAACATTAGTTGAGAAATGCTTCCTTCAAATGCCCTTCCGGAAACCACCAACTGACAACACAAGCCTGGAAGATCGAAGGGATACCTGACCAGAATACACCACCATGACTTCCCAGTTTCACCGGACCCAGCTCTGTAACTACCAGTTTATACTCATGAGTATACTTATTCATGTATTGCAGTGAGTGAGTAAGTTCAGCAATATCAAGGTGGGGGGGGGGGACCGCCTCCGTGGTGTAGTGGTTAGAGCGTCCGCCCGGAGAGCGGAAGGTTGCGGGTTCGATCCCTGACCGCGTCATACCAAAAGACGTTAAAATATGGTACCTGTTGGTCCCTGCCTGGCGCTCGGCATTAATGGGTACAACAAGGACTGGTCGGCTCGGAGTCAGTATGTGTCTGAGTGGGGTATTCATGCTTCACGGTATCTCAGTAGGCTAGCACCATGAAACCAACTAAAGTCTACACATACACACGCATGCACGTCGTCATATGAGCGAAATATTCTCAAGTACGACGTAAAACCCAATTTCACCTCACCTCACCTCACCTCAAGGTGGGGGACACTAGAAATGGGCTTCACGTATTGTACCCATGTAGTGAAAGGAACCTAGGTCTTCGGTATGCTGAGCGAATGCTTTTACCACTAGGCTACCCACTATCCCCCTTTTGGATTAAGCAGTAATAGCAATGAGGTGAGGTAACATGTCACGAAACGCTGCATTGTCTCAACTTCTACCAGTTTTACAGTGCTAACAACTGAGATACCATGGTGCAGTTTAACATTGATACAAACGATACTGACATAAACCAATGAATCATTGTTGATGCCGTGATGCTGAATGCAAGGCAAGGTAGGGATGCCACAATACAGCGATACTTTTTCATTCATTCAAAACTGTATCGATATTTAGTTTTGAAAGTATCGGTTTAAATATGTTTAGGTATTGTTTACATTTTGCAATTGTATCATGTTTTTTGATGTTATGAGAGTTATAAATGATTATTTTTCATGCACAAAGACGGGAAATTAGAACTTTTTAATCTCTGAGAATCAAAAAGGGTGATCTTTTAATGGACAATAATAAATTATGACATATCAATGTTCAAAATGTAACTAAATTTACGCAATAATGCAGCGAAAATAGGTATCATGATACGTATCGAATCGTGACATGGGTATTGTGATACGTATCGATTCATGAAACTTATGTGTCATGACATCCTTAAGGCAAGGTAACAAAAAGTATCTTTAAAAAATCAGGATCTTTGGGCTGACGTTCTATTCAAAAGACATTGGCAGTACGCAATTGGAACCAGCCTTCAATTATTACCTTCAGATGACAATTAAATTTCGCCGTTCTAAAGATCATAACATGCCTATCTATAGTGTGCCATGACAAATTTTTCACTAGGCAAATAAAATCAAAGCTATGGTGCAACTAAAGAAATAAGAGAGCAATGGAAGGGCTTTTTTCGGAACGGATCTGCAGGGAAACAAGAATTTATTAATTTTCTTTTTCGGCCTTTCACCATCTGTTGCACAGTGTTGGAACAACTCAGGTGAAACTTCCACATATTCCAGTCACATTAGCAGATACATTACCATGCTGTTATAAACTACACAGAATATATTTCTACAGCCCTGCTTGCACCGGACATGAGGCCTCTTTCCAACCTTCAAGGTTTGTGAACAGCAGAGATCTACATTACATTCCCCTCACAACTAACTACAATAAGCTGCAAAACATTTGGTCCCAATGAGCAGTTAAGTGTGAAATGGGTGTTAAATTACATCTACTTCTTGTCCCTTGTTCCTGATTGTCAAATGTATTTTAGTAGGTAAACCCAGGCTAAAGAATGTGGTGAGCATGTTCTCGTTTAGATCGTCTAGCTGATAGCTTTGAGCACTTGTCTCGAGGTACATGGTTTATTATGGGTGTTCTGAACATTACCTGGAGTAGGTGTGCAATTCTACACAGTTTATGTAGAATGAGTCCAAATCACAGACAATGAACAAACAGTTGTAGATAGAATCTGCTCATTGGACCAAAGATTTGCATGTTCTTGGGAATCTGAGTTCATTTGTGCTGCCAGACTGGACGTGGTATTTGTGGAGAGTTTGTACACAAGACATAAACTGTGTAATTGCATCATTTTATCATTTGTTTGATTATCAGTACATGCTTATGAAGGAAGACAAGAAGAAAACAGGGTTGTGGTTTAACAGCTGTGTTTACTTTTCTTTTCATGCTGTACTCTTAAAACTTGGAATTTGGACCAAACAAACCAGATAAATGCAGATCCTACGTAATCAATGTACAATGACACACAATGAAGTGAGGTGAGGTGAGAATATTTATCTCATATGAGAATATGTATCTCATATGACGACGTGCATGTGTGTGTGTGTGTGTATGTGTATGTGCGGCTGCTGGTACTTGCCCAGACTGAAGCTGGTTTTATAGTGCTAGCCCACTGAGATACCATGCCACAGTGAAGCAGGAATACCCCACTCAGACACATTATACTGACTCTGAGCCGACCAGTCCTTGTTGTACCTATTAATGCCGAGCGCCAGGCAGGGACCAACAAGTACCATACTTTAACGTCTTTTGGTATGACGCGGTCGAGGATCGAACCCCGCGACCTTCCGCTTTCCGGGCGGACGCTCTAACCACTACACCACGGAGGCGGTCCACAATGAAGTGAGTGTGTGAGTGAGTGTGAGATCATGGGTTACTGAAGATCAATTCTAACCTGGATCTTCATGGGTCGAGTGAGTGAGTGAGTGAGTGAGTGAGTGATATTTACCACTCAAGTGAAACTCATGATCTAGGGTATGGTGCTAACAAACCCAAAATCATCATCAGGCCAACCTAGGATTCAAACCCTCGATAACAAGTTTCTGGCCCAAGGGAAGTAACTCTGCACTGTGAGCTGAACCAGGTGCTTTTGTATAATGTTGCCAGGACAAGGATGATTACCGGGTAAATCTGGTCAAGCCTCCATAATGAAAACATATAAAGACTTCATGAAATAAAGTGTTATTTAATACAGCTATTTGAAAGAAGCCCAGAGAATCTTTTCAGAAAATTGAAGAAACCTATCCTGCTAAGGTATTGCAGACCTGCTTGGGAGATTAGGGGGTAAGTCTCGGAATAAGTCTTGGGATAAGTCTTGGGATCAACCTGACAGACTAATCAGGTCCATCATGGTATATTGGTTCGAAACACATAGAACCTTTCAAAGTTAATTGTAGAATCAAGAGTTCCATTCTTCATATACCAGCTATCTGCATACCAACTGTAATTTATTTTAAATCCTGCAAATCTAACAAATCCACGCCTGTCACCACCATTCTTGTCACATGATACATTTGAAGCCACAACCACCTATGTGAGGGCAACACTATCACCAAACAGTGACTGCCCTACAGAACAGTACAAACACCCGAGACATCATGAATGTCTGAGCAGCTGACCTTCGACCTCCGCCTGACCAATATCAAATACAGACACAATGGCAGCTCACCCGGTCTCCTCGTTAACAAACGCAGCCAACGATAGCGTATCTTTTACCTGTGCTATCAAACACACCTATCTATTTACCTACTGGTTTATGTCTGTACACAGGTGATCAATGCACACCTGGTTAGTGTCAATAAAGGCAAGCCACTGCTCGTTAACAGGTAACGGCACACTTCATAGGGGGTAATTCTCTTCGGCTTAACTAGAGGTTTCAAAAGAAAGGGGAGATAACTAAAGCAAAAGACATGTTTGATGGATGGATTGCAACAGATTTTCTAGACAAACAAAACTAATAAAAGGGTATTACTTGTCTTCGGGCCTATTTAAAGCCTATAGACTGACATTCTTAAAAAAACACCAGCAGAATCACGTCTAAATGTCCCCTACAAGAATAATTTCTATATTTGTTTACAGGTTACTCCACCAACCAGTTGCCAAAGTTCAACCCTAACAACATAAAACATTTACATTCATCTCTTTCGCTTAAGTGTATGCAGCTAAAAAGAAAAGTTTAAACTAGTTGTGTGGATAGTATATTTGTTACCTAAACCAAAGTGCAGACAGTCTAGTTTCTTTTTCATGCATCTGAATATATTTTTTTTACAGGACAATAAAAACATTAAAGTCAAATGACCCCAACTTGGAGACCCTGACAAT